TATGTAGCAAAGTAATATAGTAAGTTATGATTATAATGCTGTAATTTACTATACTATTTTACTATAGTTATGGCAATGTGATGCAATATAATAACTATCATTAGGATGATTCTACCATGTAAATTTTTTTACTTAAAACTTTTTGAATAATTGTTATAGCTAATCAAAAGTGGCAGAAAAATTAGTAATTGATATAGAAAATCATTAAACTAACTATGTTGATCAATTACATAATTAAAGAATAAGCTATAATGCTATAATGAGATATTACAAAATGAGCTATAGAATAAGCTTACAGAATAAGCTATAGAATAAACTTACAGAATAAGCTATAAAATAAGCTTACAGAATAAGCTATAGAATAAGCTTACAGAATAAGCTATAGAATAAGCTATAATGATGTATTACAAAATAAGCTATAGAATAAGCTATGATGATGTATTACTATGATAATATATTAATATGATAATGTTATACATAAAAAAGTCTAAGTCTAATGTTTAATGATATCATATACACGTATACCCAAAAATAAGTAATACAGTTATATAAACTTATCATTGTATAATTAAGTTAATTTATAATATATAAAATTAATCATTCATTAGTTATAAATATAATATAAATACAGTATAACAGATACCTTTTTTTAAAAAAACAAGCATAAAATCCTTAAAAAAATTTTTTTATAAAGTTATTTTTCATAAAAAACCTAGAGATATTCTGCTGAACATTGATACAAAAAAAAAGACATTTGTATGATATGCAAAAGTGTTATTAATCCAAGTCTTAAAGATTCAGTTACAATTTTAAGCTGTAAACATTTTTACTATAAAGAATGCATTGGTAATATGTGTCTACTATGTCAAGAACAAACTAATAGGATTGAAAATGCATTGATTTATTATCAAGAAAGTAACTGTTCCATTAACTCATTATTGAATTTAGAACATGCTAACATTTCTACTTTACTTACTGAATTTACTGAACCTATGTTTACTAAATCCATTAAACTTACTGAACTTATATTTACTGAATTCACTGAACCTACATTTACTGAATCTGCTGAACCCACATTTACTAAATCCACTGAATCAACCAAATTTATTAAATCTATCGAATTTACAGAATCTAACAATATGCTTGTTAAATTTACTGAACTTACCACCTCTTTTATATCAGTTGAATATATTGAATTTATTGCTTCTGTAGATTCTACAGATTTCACTTCTGCACCTATTGAGTTAATTGAATATGCTAAAACATCCAAGTCTACTAAATCTAAAACAACTAAATCAAAAACAATATCTAAAAAAACACAAATGATTCAGTTATTAAAAGAACTAAACATGCCTATTAGGAGAGAATTGAAAATAATTGCAATAACAACAATAATATTAACATTAATAATAATAATAATAACAGTAATAATGTACTACTATTAATTTAACTTTATACAAATATAATTCATACTAAAAGTAATGCAACTAAGACAAATCAAATAGTAATTAGAAGTTGGTATGAATTTGTGGATAAGCTTGATAAACAGATTAATCAAACATTAAGGAATCAAAAAAAATTTAAATATAGAAGTTCTAAAAAATCAGCAATATTTAAAGTATATGATAAACTTTTAAACCATTTTACTAATATGACCTGTGTTGTTTTAAGAAAAAGGGTGAAAAAGGTAAATAAGGTTTATACCTTATTTAAGGAAATAGGTATTAATAAAATTAAAAGAGTTAGTACTTTTAGTGCTGACAAAATTTCAGAATTTAATATATTACAAATCGAATATATTATTAATAATATAACTATATAATTTTGATTTAATTAATTGCAAAATGTTTAGTAATTAATTGCTTATATAAATTTGTTATATTTTGGTAAAGTTAATTTTAATTTTTACCTTTAGTTTTTTATATAATAAATTTTAAAACCTAATTCTCAATATTTTTTATAATATAAAAGATAAAATATATTAATAAAAAGTTAATTTATATCGAACTAATAGATTATATATATAGTACCAGATGCTTATAATAGTGATGGGCTACATGTAGAATTTTATAATTCAGGTTTATCATATAAATTTTGTGATCTTTTGAAAATTTGTCCAATTAAATTTTAATAAATTCCAAAATATTACAAAATTTATATGATAAATCTGAATTATTAAAACCAGATCCAACCTTTAGCCATACATATGGAACTATCAATGCCAGTCTAAAAATTTCATTATTATGTGATCTCATTAAAAAAAATTTTGCTAAAAAACATTTACTCTTAGGTTAGGTCACTAGTGAGTTAGTTGGGTTCAAAGAACTATAGTTATATTAAAATTTTGTAAAAAAAACTTTTTTTATTAGTATGCAGAAGGCAGTTGCATAGGCAAAATGTTGAGTTATAGATGATTTTTGACTTATTTTTGTTTTTTATATTATATCTGATCTCGAAATTTGATTGGCTAGAGAACTTTTTTAGACTAGTATTTTAAATACTATTGGTCATACATGGGATTTTTTAATATAAGATTATTTGGCCTATATTAGCATTAGTACTCCAATCTGGTTGACCTGAATAACTTGAAACCAACTCAGTTATAATAAATTTATTAAATAGGTTATGACCCATATAGTAAATTCATTATAACCAGATTGGTTTCAGGTCATTCAGGTTAATCTAATCAGAGTACTAGATAACAGAATTAATTTCATGAATGTCACTATTTATAGTTTTATTTTATAATGCATAGGTATAAAGAATATTTATTAATCTAAATATTTAATGTGTAAGCATAAAGAATATTTATTTAATTCTATTTATGACAATTAATCATAATTTTAGTATTTAGCATAAATTATTCAGATCTATAAATATTTACTACTTCATTTATTCACAATAATTTAGTATGTTAAACTATTCAATTTCAGTAATAATATATATAGCCTGTAAGTATAAAAACATTTATTTACCTAATTATTTAAAATAAACTAAGGTTTATTAGTTTTTACTATATCTAAATGTTGTATAAATAAGCAAAAAATAGATATGACAATCTAATTTTAACTAAATGCTAATAATTT